CCCCGCATCTCCCCCCGCAGTCCCGCATCTCCCCCCGCAGCCCCGCATCTCCCCGGATGGCTCGGTGACGACGGGGAGAGTCATCGAGGGGCCAGCCGTTACTCAGTCTCCGGGGTTCGTGCGCGGGACAAGGCGTGTTCTGTGAGGTCCCCGTCCCTCTTTCGTCCCCAGAGGGACTCGGTTTCTCCCGAGTTTTCGCGTTTGTGGGGTAGGGTCTCGGAACCGCCATGCTGTCCCCGGCCTAGCTCCTCCTAGGATGGCTCGGTGACGACGGGGAGAGTCATCGAGGGGCCAGCCGTTACTCAGTCTCCGGGGTTCGTGCGCGGGACAAGGCGTGTTCTGTGAGGTCCCCGTCCCTCTTTCGTCCCCAGAGGGACTCGGTTTCTCCCGAGTTTTCGCGTTTGTGGGGTAGGGTCTCGGAACCGCCATGCTGTCCCCGGCCTAGCTCCTCCTAGGGGCGGCGACAGACAACGGCATTTCCAATCTCTCACCCGAATTGCCAAACGCCATCTTCCTCTGAGTCATAGCATCGTTATCAACTATTGATGTTTGTGCTGCATTTCAAACTATTAAAATTCAGCTGAGTAAATTTGAAGATAATTGGCTTTATTCCACGATTCACCAAATGGGGCAGCATCACATCTAGTAAATAGAAAGGTGCTGGGAGGAGCTCTACAAAATGGAAGGAAGACTTTTACCGGCAGAAAAGGAGCCGCACTAGCGGGTTATTGGCGGAAGGAAAGCAAGGATTGTTTCAGGCAAGGTCACCTTTCCTTTAGAAGAAGGAACAGCATGAATCTTATTGGGCAGATTAGTGTTGATCAGGAAATTCTAGACTGGTTTAAAATTTCATTCCTGGGGGAAGATGAAACTGCAGTTAAGTACAGCCATGCACCCCTTAACCTCTGGAGTCGGCGGAGTACCTTCTAAGAAGTGTGTCCTGAGACGATTTTGTTGTTTTGAATTCACTTACACAAACCCAGATGGTCTAGCCCACTACACTTCTGGGCTGTGTTACAGCCTATTATTGCTCCTAGGCTACAAACCTGTGCAGCATGGTACTGTACTGAATACTGTAGGCAGTTGTAACAATAGTGGTATTTATGAATCTAAACAAAAAAGATACAGTATAAATATGATATACAAGGAAAAAAAATGGTGCTCTTGTTTAGGGCACTTACCATGAATGGAGCACGCAAGACTGGAAGTTGCTCTGGGTGAGTCAGTGAGCGTGAAGGCCAGTGACGCTTACTGTGCATCACTGTGCCTCACTGTCCGCTTCTGTGGACTTCCATAAACGCTGTGCAGTTACAAGATTAAATGAAGCACAGGAAAAAATGATGCAGTCAAAAGCTATGATAAACACAAGATGTATGAATTTTTCAGATCAATTAAAATCTTATGGCCCTATATGTGGTCTGTTATTGACCAAAACGTTGTTATGTGGCACATGACTGTATTAAGTTTTGGGTTTGGTGATATGACTTAGCACGAGTGAATCCATCTGGGGCCTGTTGTCTCCTTTTTAATAAAACAGACCCAGTATTTTAATTATTTATCATATTCCCACAGTCAATGGGTGACTGTTTTTAAAAGGTTTATTTTGTATGTGTGAATATTTTAACGAGACAACAGCAGCTAATAACCACCTAGAGACGTTGTATGAAATTCCTGTTCCCCTCCCCCAGGACCTCCCCTGGGCACAGACATCATGTGGGAAGTCCTTTGAGCCGAGGCTCCTCCTTGAAACTTTCCTGGGTGTTGTGCTCACCACAGTTCCAGATCAGCACTGCCTCTCCTTGAGTTCATCAACTTTAAACATTTATTCACTTTATTTGCGCCTCAGTTTTTCAATGAATAAAAATTTATTTAATCATTTCAACCTGAAACAACATAAAATATTTTCAAAGATGCAAGAAACAGGTGAACTTCAGAAAAAAAAAAATTCCAGTATTAACATTGCAAGTATTAAATTTTTCATTCCCTTTTTTTCCTCTCAACGTGGGTAGTAATATTCTGAGGTTTGTTCTTTTATTTTGGGTGAGTTCAAATGGATTCCCAGGGCTTACACTTACAGACCAGAAGTGTTCAAGTATGATTCATAGTTCATAAAATAATATCTTGCCGTGAAAACAATAATTAACTTATTTTTGGAATGCAGTAGACACTTGTGGGTTTTCTTGCTGAGCTAGCAAAGTGCCTTGCAATTTTCTTCCCTCCTGTACACATAAACACAGGGTTTGAGTGATTTTGCTAGACTGTTCAAACACTGGGTCTGTGTATCTAAAATATCAGTGGAAAACAAACGAACAGGACAAACAGAGACTCATAGACATAGACAATAGACTACTTAGCGGTTACCAGAGAGTGGGAGGGAGGGAGAAGGTGGGGGGGAAGGGGGCGGGGGGGTAGGTAGGGTTAAAGGGGTCAAATATATAGTGACAGAAAGAAATCTAACTATGGGAGGTGAACACACAATGCAATATATATGTGCCTTACTGTTGAATTGTGCACCTGAAACAGTGTTTTTTGTTAACCAATGTTACCATAAAAAATAAATATTCTTTTTTTAAAAAAGAAAACATTATGATGAGTGAAATAAGCCAGACACAAAAAGACAAATACTGCATGGTTCTAATTATATGAAATACCTAGAATAGGCAAATTCATAGAAACAGAAAGTAGATTAGGGACTGAGAGGAATGGGGAATGAGGAGCTACTGCTTAGTGGGTACTGAGTTTCTTTTTGGGGTAATGAAAAAGCTTTGGAAATAGATACTGGGGATGATTGCATGACATTTGAATATAATTAATGCCACTAAATTGTATACCTAAAAATGATTTAAATGGTAAATTTTATGCTACCTACATTTTATTACAATAAAATAATTTTTTTAAACACACACACACAAAATATCAGTAGTGGTCCCAAACAAGTCCACTAGAGATTAGAGACTTGAGGCCAGTGACAGTGACTTTAAGCCAAGGCCCTCTTGAGCCTTCAAAAATAAGTTCTTGAAGGCCCAGTGGTGCTCCCTGGGGAGCCTCCCCCTGCAGGTGTCCTACCTGCTTACGCCTCCATGGAGGAGCCTTTACACTGAGAGAAGCTGCAGCCCTGGAAAGCTGGGGTGTGTGTGAATGTGGAGGGGGAGTTGACGTCCTTTCTGAGGTTGTAACAGTAATTCCTTTGGTTCTGTTTCTAAATACAGGTTTGAGTTTTCTTCATAGTGTAGGTGCACTCAGAGTGTAATTTGTGCACATTGAGAAAGTCTGTGAAAGCCAGGAGTCTGTGTCCTGGGTTACGTGGTTTTTTGAACTGGGTGTTCATTTGGGTCAGAACCTTACACTGAGCGTTTCCAGCTGAGCGTTTCCTCACTGTGAGATGAAGCCTGAGAGAGGGAGCGTTTCCATTATTCCCTGGGGAGAGGAGGGTGCTGGGTCCCAGAGTTCATTCCTGGGGCGCCTCAGGTGCCCCTCCCTTCCTTCCCTAGCAACTGACCCACTCCAGGGGTTCTGTCTCAACAGGAGAGTCTGGAATGTGGAACCTTCAGCAGGCGGCTTTCCTTCTGTCCCGGTAAGCGGGCTGCTCACCTGAGCTGATTCTTTCCTTTGGCTCCTTTATGGACTGTGCAGTGCAGCCCTTTGCCTCCAGGTCCCTGAGCACCTGGGCTCTGACAGTGTAAGATGACTGACAGATACGAGGTGAGAAAGCAAGAAAATTGTAGAAGCAAATGGAATTTTTGTTCCTATTAGGCAAGAGAACCTGAAGATATGAAATGAATGCAGTTCAGTTTTCCAGCACATTTTTCATTTTTACATCAGCATATTTGCATGTCTTTAGAAAATATTGATGTTTAAAAAGCTAATGTAATCTATTTTAACTGATGGGGGGACAGCTATTAAAAGCTTATGTAACTCTGAAAAATCCAGTACACTTTAGGAGCTAAACTCAAACCCCTAATGTGTTACAATATGCTGCTTACTCCTGAAAATGCCCCCAGCGTGAGACAGAGGAAGGACAAACTGGGACTTTGCATGTCCTTTTAGTTAGCAAGAGATTTGAATATTTTCATTTTGTGTGGCTTACAGTTCTATAACTGTTAGTATTTAAAGGAATTAAATCCTGGAATGGTTTCCTAAGTATAAAAATTCAAAATAAAGAATGTAAATTTCTGTATTTATTTTAAATAATTTTATACGATAGGAAAGTCTAACAAGAAGACTCACTGCCCAAATATCCTGGTCCCTCCAGCGCTGTTACTCCAGCCACTTCCCAAATACATGTTTTGATCATTTCTTGAGCCTCCTGTTAGTGTTGCTTTATGTAAAAATAAGCAGTTTTGCACGCATATTTTTCTTACCCATGTTCATTCTTGTAGTGAGCAGTTGGACTCTGCATTTTTGATGTTTGACTGCTGACAGCCTAAGCCTCCCTCTCTCCTGTCCTTGTTGTCCCACATTTGGACAGCCTGATGAGAAAGCCTGGCGGTTTCTCCTCCAGAGCAGGCAAGAGGTTCAAACCATAAAAAGCCATGCCTGTGTGCAGAACTCTCGTCCAGGACCCATATCCTAGGCCCCCACCAAACCATACCAGGCTCCATTTTTTTGCTCTCAGAAGCCATGTCACAGCTGCTTGAGAGACCCGCCCTGCCTTCCCTTGAGACCTGTAGTATGTGATTCATAAGACTTTTCCAACCCTCTGTGTGTATGTTGGGTGGGAGGGGGGTGGCACACCAACATCACTCTCCTCTGCACCTCTGCAGATAACCATAAAACTT